AAGTCTTATTACCTATGCAGTTCCCAATGCAAATTTAGTGGCCTACTTCTAGCTTTCCATAATCATTTTGTCTAACGCAAATGCCCTGTACTGAACTCTTGTCATTCTTGTAACGACCAAAGTCCCCTATAAGACATCCGACGAACAAGGGAGAGCACAGAGGAAGAGACGATTTCAGGGAACGTTTTCTTTAATTTGATTATCATCCAAGGAGCAGAACTCTCCATAGCCATAGAGAATCCATTCATTAGTTACGAAACTGGCAGCTTTGTTCCCTAAGAGTAAGAATCACATTGACATTACCCTCTGGTGTTCGCATGAATCTACAGGTTGAATACTGCACGCAGCGGATAGTTTGCTACTATATCACATAATATATAAGCAGTCGCTTATTTGACTTGAGGTTCATCTGATTGTCACATGGACCTAGGGGCTTAGTTGTTTCTCCCTCGAAAGGCGACCTTTCCCAAAGAAGATCGATTTGGTCCTCGATATCGGACAGACTACTTACTACGCTACCTACCCTTTTGGTTGGTGTTCTGTTCCCATTTTAACCGATTCATGCTAATTCGTTTTCACATTTCCGTTTCACATGTGTCCGTGTTGCAAACATAGTGTGCGGTTGAAGTCACAGACTGACCCAACGCGCTGATTGGCTCCACTCACGATTCGCCATCCGACCACGGACCGACGCCTGTTGTGTTCGTGCTATTCAGTTTTACTGTAACTCGCTAAAAAGCGGTCTTTTCTCGTCATGTTGTGTTTTAGGTACGGGACGTAAGAGTACTGAGCTGTTTGTTGTAACCTTATCAGCGGCTCAGAAAGGCGCTTTTGAACATGACATAACAATGTGTGTTTAACTGTTGAGACTGAAGTAAATTATGAGTTGTCCAGTTCTTAGTCACCGTCGTATAGGTGAAAGTAACTTCAGTAACTTCAGTACACAACTACTCATTTGATTCCACATATCCGGTAGATTCAAAGTCAGTTATTTTTTCAGCTCGAAAACCGTGTACCGAAATACAGTGGTTCCAGCTGGCACACTCGTTGATCGAGGCTAAGGGGAATAGTGGAATGACATCCATGCCTTGGAGGTGAGGTTGAATCGTTCTGTTCGGCAGGGAAGGCATTCAGAGCTTTGATGCAATACCTCCATTGACTGTGTGTGAGGGTCACTGACCATCGGATTATCTTGTTCTGTGGCCCTCATCCGGTGAGAGGGCACTTACTAACACGCCTGGGTTGACTGTTGAAGGCTTCCACACTCCAATGCCAAAACATAGACTGACCCCCTCCGGGTCGTCCTCTCCGACACAAGGGCTGAGCGAATGGAGCTCTGCGAGGAAAACGGTCCTCTGGCATACGAGGTACATTGCCTAACTAGTACAATCCGTAGGGTGTGATCAGCCGGTCTCTGCAGGTAGAGTACACTTTCCCGAAAACCACCTGGGTTACCTCAGGATCACTGATCTGACCATCGCGATGCTTTGGGGGTACCGAATGTCAAGGGTGGAGGGCCTCTGGAGGCTTTATACGGCCAGCGGCCACGTCTCCGACATACAAAGTAGGACTGCAACATTGTGCACTGCACCGATGAAAGTGAGCTGATTTCACATCGGGGGTACCGAATGTCAAGGGTGGAGGGCCTTTGGAGGCCTTATACGGCCAGCGGCCACGTCTCCGATATACAAAGTAGGACTGAAACATTGTACACTGCACCAATGAAAGTGAGCTGATTTCACATCAGTGCCAATAAAGTCGAAGGTCAGCGAACACTGTCATGGCCTTACCCATTTGTCTAGTTAGTTCGTCTTTCACCAATCCGCCAGGATTGTGCAGCCACCTAGTTAAAGGAATGTATTTACCACGCCGATCGGTTCACCTGCAAGCATGAGGTTTGGGTTTGATCACAACAACTTTTGCAGCAGCACTTTACACTCTACAGGTGTGAAGTGCATCTCAAACTGTGCAGCGGGATTATTTAACGTATCTAGGAAGGCTGATGCAACGACAGGAGTATCATCTGCGGCAGAAAAATACGGCGCTTCCAGGAGGAACATTTACCTCAGATCCTACAAAAACGGGGTTACTTTTGAAACCTCTGTCTCTTCGGGAAGAGCCAGAAAAAGGCGTTCGTTCTGTAGCACTTTACAGCACAAGAGTGAAGGAAAACATGCGTTGTTGCCTGCCTTTGGAATGAGCCAGTCGGCTTTTGGATAACCTACAACACCATCGCCGACTTCCCAGAGAAAATTCTTAGATATGATGAAACAAATCCAGGGTTCATAGTTCCTAATGTCCGGAAATAGGTGCAGGCAATTTCTCGAAAAAAACACTGATCCTTCAAACAGGAACTATTATTTTGAAACTGTTACATTCTGGAGGGAAGTCTGTGACGATCTGTGACTTTTGTGAATAGAAGTTGAAGTAAATGTTAACTTTTCCGAAGGAGTCAATATAAATCTTCATATTTTGTGGTATATTCTGTTAGATCCCATGGGCACTAAACCTTGGGTTCTACTAGATATACAACCAATTTTATTTGATGAAACTCTCAGAATACTCAACTCGACCATGCAAGAAGGCGATAAGCAAATTTTGTCCGAAACAACTGATAAGCTGTTGTGATAGTATAATAGAACGATGACCCAGGAAAATGCACTTATCTTGTGGGAAGGACCAATAAAACAAAAAGCGAATCTTAATAGAATAATGAGGACCTTTTTCGAACGCAAGATTCACGGCTAGCGACCAACACTGCGGATATGAGACATGAAAACAGGTTTCCAGCATTAAATTACCGTAATTCGTTTCCATGCTGAAAGGTCAGAGAGCTAAAGAGTTCAGCTACAGCAGTTTCTACGTACTAGCTCAATTCAAAACAAAGAAATTAGGAATTATGGAAGGGTCCACCAAGAAAGTTACCAACAACTTCGCTGAAATCCCTTTATGGCTGAAGCGATGCAACTCAAATCGGAGTGTCCAGATTTGACGAGAGTATTCACATCTAAAGTCCAATCTACTACACGAAAATAGGACCACAAATTAACACAAATCGTGAAAGGAATGATGAAAACAAGAAAAAGACTACCGAAGGACTTTATGTAACGAGCCAATCAGACGCAAAAAGGGGTAGGTAGCTGCGAATTAGAGTCAGGAGATGATAAACTGGTGTGTAAGTAGAGCACTGTCAGTGGACTGTTAACTGAGAAGGGAGCTATGCTTTCAAGGCAATAGCTTGGATGAGTGAGCGCCGTTGAAGACGCGACTGGGCCACGTCTGACAATGTCTCTAACCACTGATATAGCCTGTCTTGGGGTCCCCACAGGAAGACAGCGATGATCAGCGCATCTGAGTTTGCTGGTAATGGTTTTATACTTCCCTGCCAAGTCATTGTTTGACCACCTCTGGCTCTCTTCCACCCTTCGCATGGTTGTGCGAAAAAAGCCCTTCAAGGAAGTCGATCGACTGGCATACGCAGCACGTGGCCAAGCCAGCGCAACCTATGCCGTGTGATCAGTTCGTCTATCGAGGGTGAGTTATTTCTCCCAAATAACATTCGACGTATTTTAGCATTGCTGATCCGGTGTTCCCACCAGACTCTAGCAATGATCCGAAGACACAAATGGTCAAGCACTGAAAGTCTTTTGATGTCTTCGGCGTGTAGTGGCCGTATGGTACTATGGAGCGCATTGTAAACTCTACCCTTGATGAACAAGCTGACGTCACGCCCACGCCACAGGTGACGCAGGTTCACAAAAGCTGCGCTTGCCTTCCCAACGCAGATGGAAATATCGCCTTTCGCGAGATCACCGGATTTTATACAGATGCCCACGTAAACAAATTTGTCTACTACCTTAGTCGGTTCATCCGCAAGCATTAGGCTAGGGTTCAAGTCTGGTCAGTTTTGCAGTACCCTTCTCGGAATCACCACTCTTGAGAAACAGTCTACATTTCACCATGCAAACAAATTTGGAACCCACCGGTGGTCGTAGGACGTTCCAAGTTCGTTGTCATCTAGAGGGGGAAACGTAGTATCCCTATACGTGTTTAGCCGCAAACGGAAGGAGAATGGGTAAAAACGTCACTCAAATGATTAGTGAAGCTATCATATGAACGAACGTTTGAAATCCGAAATATGAAACTCCTTGGGTGACACAATAATAGTACTCTCCATTTTGACAATTGAGGTAACCGCATTGTGACTAAGCCACATTATTCAAGTGTCTTGGTACAGTGTGAATTCATGTAGGAATTACATTTCGGTCCAAACTGATTTCGTACTATTCCTCCTCTAGCTTGTGTAATCGTCAATTTCCATACCATATTACCAAATGTTCCGAGTGACGACCGGATATCCCCATCAAAGTGAGAATCAAATTCCACCTTAAAATATTTCCAAGCCGTACATTCATCACCGCCATTCTCTTCATATCTTTCAGCCAAATTTTATCAGGTGGCTCATCACAAATACTTTTCCTTGCCCATTTCATTTTTCACGCATTTGTGCTTTTCCGGTAACTGGCAGTCAGAAATTCATCATTCTTTGTTTCCGTTCAGTAGGCGACTGCCAAATTGCCTAAGAGCTGACTGGAATGATGGTCACAATTGCAAAGTATGCGGGTGACGTAATTCTGTTTTACGCGTCACGTTTTCGTACTTTATTGCAATACCATTTGATCAGAGATTCTCATATTCTAGCTTCATTTCTGCAACAATGCGAGCGAACACTTCCTCTGCCGTTCTGTATGTCGTACGCGCTATTATACACTTTCAACTAGACGAGGATTGCTAACCTACCGGCTTGACTCATAAGTGCCAAGATTTCCTCCACATTCGGCGAATAGCTTCTTGGATCAATTTTAGCTTCGTCACTTTGGCATTCAACAACGACCGCGAGCAAAAGTGCGCACACTTTACTCTTGTAGCTACTGATTCCTCTTCGCTGGATGGGTAGCTGAGTGAAGTCACGTGCCCAACTGTGTGACGTGGATCATTTAAAATACCGATAAACTCGATAGAGAACGGTCGATAGCTGAACCGACTGGCTTTGATGTAATATGGCCATCCTCCAGGTCTAGTATGATGTATGCTAACTGGAAACAGTTGTAAGTTATCGGACTAATAAACCATTGTATACACATTGCTTTACTAGTGTAGGTGACCCGTTGATGCCGAAAGAATGGTGGGTTTTTTTGTAGTTAAATCAGTTATTCTAAAACAGGCCACGTCGAGCTCGAATTGGCCTGAATGGATTCGGGCAACTGGCCCGAACACTATTAAGATGCGCCCTGGAGGATAATCGTGGCCTTGACGTAGTGGCTATCAATGAGCCGAATCTAACGCCTGAACAAATGATATATCTGTTCAAATATGACACAAACCTTGGACCGTTTGCAGGATACATCAGTGAACGCGTTGAAGTGGCCTATGCAAAGGAAGATCAAAATGGCGAGTACAGTAACATTCAGGTGGCTGGCAGATGGATTGGAGTATTTCACTGTAAACAGCCGGAGGATATTCCTTGGAACTGGCTAGGAGTGGAATATGTACTTGAGATGACTGGGGAGTTGAGGCATTTGAAAGAAGCGACGGTAAGTCAAACTGGCTGCAAGATGCTCCCTATATTGCAGTTGGAAGTTGTTCGAGTCCACCTTCTGGAGAGCCGTCTACCCTCCGTGTACTTAGATTGCTTACTGCAAAACGCTTACGCTGCATGGATTTTTCTGTTTAAAAAACGCAGGGAGTGCCTTAGAAATGCTTTCAGTAGCAAGATTTTAGGTACCGATGGATAACTAACCTGAATTACGATACATCGTTATGCCGGAGTATCTGATAGCGGTGGGACGAGTTAGTAATTCTCCCCTTTACAGATAATGAACGCTTCAGTGTTTGACGAACACACCGTCTATTCTGCACTCGAAAATTTTGTTTAAGGCCCCCCAGTCAGTCTGATTTTCCTATGTAAGAGAAAATTGATATAGGTATATGTATCTATGGTAGTCAAAGTGGTTGTCATACGGAAAGTACTGTATATCAGAAAGCAAGTCTGGGACTAGGAACGGTCGAAATTCTGAAGACAATGAAACAAATGGCGACAAGTTTTGGGCATGTCCCTTGACTTCATGGAACCTACGGGTTCTAAACCCGTTAAACTACTCCAAACTCAGATTGAACGGGTAATATACTACTCATAAGGTCGCTGGGTTCCAGGTGAGTCTCCCATCAAAACCAAATTTGTATGCAAATGAGTGCATTTTGCTACAAAAGGGGGTAGTAGTTCGTCATCTAATCTGGGTTTATAAACAGCTGTTTACCGATATAGTACACAAAAGGGATATGAAACACGAGCAGTAGAGGCCGGGAAAACTTGCAAGAACAAATGACACATTGTGTGGTCCAATATCACCACCAGTTTGCCTTGTCTTGAGTTGACCGAGTTCACGTAACAGGGAGTAGGCAGTAAACCTCGGTGAAATTTTCGGAACGCTATCAACACCTCAAACGCCTTCAGTACTGTCGAACTGGTGATGTTAGGTTGGTTTCGTATTACACATTTGCACGTGTGTGGTCTACAAGCTACAAATGATGCACAACTCCTATTGAACTTCTTCTTGGAGTCGAATTAGGCCAGCGTAAGCGGATAGTCACATACACCAAGAAAGTATTCAACAACTTGCATTGGATTCGCTTCCGTAACTGATAGATTTATGCAGGTATTCAATGGTTTTCAGCAAATTTCCAAGAACACTGCCTCACCAAGTCTAACTTGAAGTGGCTGGTTTGGAATTCGCAAGAGGAGCACACCTGAATTAAGCAGAGAGCCATGGCTAAATTTCAAACACTCAGTAACTCTGTCTCCCAGTAAGAAATTTTTTCCCACCACACCACCATTCCTCGAAACCTCAAAGCTGCGTGCAAAGAAAAGACGAACTGATGAAACCGTTTGAGTATTCCAATCTTGAAGGTTCCATGAAAACAGTCCTTACTAGTTTTCGAAAATTGATGTTACTTGCTGCCGGAACAAACGCAAGAATAAGTTCACCTACTTGTCAGCCGTTTGAAAAGGAATAAATGAATGCACTCGGGTAAAAACTGGCCGAACTTATCGCAACCTTTGATAAACTTTATGCTCATGCAACAAAGACAAAGTTGTATTGACCCTAAAAGCAGCTCGATTTTGAAGTTTAAGAGTCTGCAGCGTCAGGACCGTTTTACTAATTGAGTCGTTTTCAGAAATAAACTGGCAAAATTCTGCTTCAAGGGCTTTATGTGTCCGAACACTGGAACCAATGTGTTTATGGTGCACATGGATTGAATGACTGACTGTACGCTGTAATTTATTACCGCGAGTGGTTGAAGGATGTGAGGCACCTTTGGGCCACTGACCGTCGTTCCCAGAGAATCCTAGCTCGAATAGACAGGTACCGACGGATTTGTAGTACACGTTCAAGAAACAGGTATTTGGCGGTGTAGCAGATATTTCACTTGCGAATGCGCGCAGACTCTATTACGACGACGATATCTTGGGCTATTCGGTGGAAAGATTTGTTGGGCCTTATGCGAACCAGACTCAAAGTAAAAACGTCAACAAAACACGAATACCAGGCTGTTTTATTTAAAAAACTCCTTTGAAGAGACATCTTCAACTATAGAAGTCTTCCTTTTGGAGCCCCTCACCAAGTTTTGTTTTGCTGGTTGGCCTATTAACGCTTCTGTCTAACCCCGACCAGCTTTGTGCTAAAAATGACTAGGTTAGAATGCATCCGATACGGCCAAACCAAAAAAAAACAACAGGATGAATCGAATTTGATCACAAGAACAGAAATCTCGAAAACAATGTCTTGAAAGCTTAGGGCAGTCAAAAGGGATTATAAGTTACAGACCAAACTGGGGAAGCTACAACAAGTTATAGCGATACGAAGTATCGAGTTCGATGGGGATACCACCAGGTGTTTGATTAATCCGTATTTTAGCATATTTTTTGCCTGCCGGTACTACCTAGGCGACTTTGATTTGTCATTTCTCCCAACTATTTGAGACAGGTTTTTTGCAAGTTTGAGGTGTGCCACTTCATACCACACTCAGACTGACCCACATGTTTCATTTATTTTTATTCGTCAAGCAGTTCTGGTCATATAAAACGGTGTTCTTTCCAGTTTTTTTATAGTCTGGTCTAAATGTGAAAAGTAGGTGACATCTTCCTGGTTCCCTGGGCAGAATAAAGTTCATCCCACTGGTTGAACAGCTGTACTTAAGCGCATAGAACCGGCAGTGATCTCCGATACTGTTTGTTGGCTACTCGAAAGGATCTTACAAGTTCTGAAGAGGTCTGTAAAACTGTGCGGAAACAAGGTCGATAAAAATGTCAACACATCGGTTACCGTCCGTCTCCCACTTTTATCCTACTACCATTCTGTTTTGATCTCGTTCCCAAAATCGTAACTCAGGAAGAAACAGGTGTTCAACGTTGTGGAAGCTTCAAAAAACTTTTAAATGTAGTTGATTTATCATAGTGCCTCCAGCACTGTTTTTCTGGCGTCTATTGATACCGAATCTTCATCAAACTATTGAGACCTAACTGATCCTTAACTTATGCTCTGACCTTTGCGGCTACCGAAATCAGTAGTGACACGTTTTTCCTGGCGACCAAACTGATAAAGAGGAATAAAGGAGGAAGGTATGCAGGGGTTGGATGGCATAGGCGAGCGAGAATACCCGTCACTGTGTTCCTGGGTCGCAGAGACTACCATGAGTTCTGGCTAGTCTCAAAGCAGCTGTGTGGTACTAGACCAAAGACTTACTCCTTTTTTCTTCAGCCTGGCAAATTCATCCGAGCTTTTCTAACCCGTCAAACTCAGCACTAACATCATCCATCAGCAGCACTGAGTGTACTTCAACAAATAAAGTATTAGCAAAAGAACCAGATAACAACAGATAAAATGTAATGGTTTTTGTACTTTACATCACCCGTCGTCAATGTTGTTCGTAGGATACGCTGATATTCTTGCTGCATCAGTGCCTCTTCTGTTCAGCAACTCGTTGGATTTACAGAATGCCAGAATATTGATGTGGCCAGAAAATAATGGGCGAGCGACTATTGGGCTGGTCAAGTACATTCTTAGTTGGATGACATATGGGATGTTGGACAAGTATTTGAACTATTTTAGTAGCGCCGGTCTTGCTTCCTAGCCTTCTGCTAATTGAGTGCAGAGGCGCTTATAATGGCACTTGTAGTCACTAAAGTCTTTTACCACTGCAGACGGTGGGGAAAATCTGGCCAGGCTCATTTGAAACTACCACACATAATGTGGAACCATTGGTGTCAGACGGTCCCCTCAATTGCTAAGTCCCTTCTTCTTCTCCACGCCGGCTGCCGATCTTCTCACCGTGAACCTGAAATATATCTGTACGGTCGCAGGAGAACGCTTCCTGTACTCTGGTGTCCAGAAATGCCAAATGATTTACTTCTTTTTATCCTCAACTATCCGCTTCTTTTTTCCTGGCAAACTCAGTAGTATTTAACATTTGACCGTTTCTCAGGAAACCGCATTGTTTATCCCGATAAATCCAAGCTAACCTAAGTAGATAGATGTCAAGCGTTCGGTCCCTCTGTTGCACACAATGTTTTGTTCTCGCCGGCATCTCTCCCCGTCGAATATATTGTTTTTTACATCCTCTTACCTGGACTACTCAAGAAGGACCTATACATTATCGTCTGGTTGATGTACGGTCTGAAGGAATTTCCTGTTCAAATTCAGTATGAACGCGCATTTTAATGTTTCTGGCGATCAACGTCATCCTGTTACCCGGTCACTGAAGCAAACCACGTCCAGCTCAGTGGACATTTCGAGCACATGCTGTACTTATACTCACCGCGATTCTATACTCTTGATTGGCTTGTTTTCCAGGAAATCCCACTGTTCTGTACAATTATCTCGTAAGTCATCCACTTTTTTGAAGAGAACAGGCGATCGCGCACACTTTTTAAACGGAGTGAGCAAAACTGCTTCGGCGTTCTGTGCAACGGTTTATTGGACTGGATGCTGACAGTGCACTTTAGTGTATACAAGGGTTTGAGACCGACAAGGCTGTTTATTTGAAGGAGTCTATTGAACCGGTGATCAGGCGAGGATTACGTGGTCTTTGACTCTCAAACCTTTGTCGGTCCGAGGTAGTACGTGCCTCGTTACATTTCCGAGTGCTTATAACCGTTGGGCTGCATAGCATACACCTTTCCCTTTTCACCTATCACGATTACTGACGTTCCAGAAAGGGAGCATTGTCCATTTATTCAGTACGGGAAACTTAAGGGTATGGTGCTCATGGTATTTCTCAAGTTTCAGTATGGCTGTCAAATGGGTAGGTTGATGTTGACGTATGAGGTTATGTGATTCACTCTAGTAGTAATCACCTGCCTGAATTCAACTATCAGGAACTAGATTTATCACTGGTCAAACTTTAATAGTACATAGTCGGACCAGGTGATAAGATTAAGGGATGATTTGGATGAATGAGAACCTGATATGAAAAGATAAGCAAATGCCGTTACAATTGTCCTTGTCCGATCAGTTCATCCTCATTCGCGACTTGTTCTTAAAACAGATAGTTTTTGTCTGAGCCATTGAAGAATCCATTAAATTTTCGGACAATGAATGATCCGCTCCTCAACTTGAACCGATCCTGGATTTTTTATATCGCCCATAGACGTCGAATTCCCTCGCATGACAGACTAAACGTTCATCCAATATGCCTGTCTGAGGTGAAACCAAGCGTTATGTTGTCCCTGAATTTTGCCGCTGGGTAGTAAAAACCAAGGCCTTTTTCACTCCGCTGTGGACCAGTCTTTCCTATGGACAATAATGCGTGTGGTTGCTGGTGTAGTGTTTATTCTGTTTCTTTCGCTTACAACTGCGGTTGTTGGGTTGTTTGTTACACGTGACGCTGAGGGTTTTCTAAGTTGATAGCATGTTTAAGCTAAAGTGAATGGTTTGACTAAATTTTCACCCTGAATAATCGGCATCCAACGGAACAAGTGCACGAGGATCAGCAGCACATCAGAACTCCCCATTTGTTACCACCAAAATCACGTCAGCGCTACAACGAAACGATTATAGAAATTCGAACAACCAGACAATCATCCCACTGATGAATTCCACATGGTTTACTTAAGTTACAGGACAACCAAACTAAATTTACCCACCTCGAGATAAGGAAGAAGGTACGGTATGCTGCCTCTATGTGCCAGACGATACATATTCCACTTGAAACAGCATAGGTTTGATGATTAATTCGTGGTGTTTCACTTGAAAACGAAACATTCACTAAGCGAATATACACCCATTTGCAAAGAAATTTGGTTTTTGCGGGAGACTCGCCTGGAATCCAGCTGGATCTCTCGGTTTTGGTGTTTTCAGGGTGGCACCAGGCCGCCTCATGTTTCAACATTACAAATATATATGTATCGTAACATCTCGGATATCTTAACAACTAAAACATAAAGCGGCCTGATGTAAAGCATTCAGCCCCCAGGAAACAGCAAAACTGAGAGATTCAACTGGGTTCCAGGTGAGTCTCTCGAAGAACCAAATTTGTTTGCAAATGAGTGTATATTCGCTAATTCGGTGCAGTTTGGTTTCAAGCAGAACATAAGTTTGACGGAAACTCGGGGACTGTGCCTACCTAATGAGCCCCAAGAAGAGCGAAAAAGGTCGTGGACTGTCGACGGATTTTCAGCAACCTTATGAGTAGTGCATTCCAAATATACAAGCTCCCACCTAGTTCACGTTCGTGGGCAGCCAAAGAATCACCTTAAACATTAAAAAAAACCCATGATGCACAAAGTGGCTCTCCCAAATCAACGTTCGCCTGGTAAACAAGCTGACCGCTGATTGTGGAACTGGTTATCCAAAATGGTGTTGAATTACAATCATCACCTGATGAAAACCAAACAAAGAGCTTGAGCTTTGACGTGAAATTAACGGTTAAAATATAGTCCGATCCAGGAGACCTTGTTTCTCCGAGGTCTTCAGAGCGTGATCCATCCCATCAGGGCTCGTCGAACGAGGAAAATGATTTAACGTGTTTGGAATCAGGGAAATTCGGTCAGACCTTCCTTATAAAGTCATGAAATATTCTTTTTCATGTTGAGAGGCATCCCCTGAAAACGATTTTCATTTCGTTAATTTGAGAACCTCAAAGAGTGACAACTACTGAAGTTTCGCTGACCAAAGCAAATTTAGGAAAAAACTAATGGCGTGACCGTCTGCATGGGAGTATGGTTCAGAAGGTGCAGAGCCACAAGAACTCTACAACGAATATATCAGCGTCTGTTCGGTAAAGGTAATCTGACGCCAAACTTGGCAAAACCGATCTTTTATGGGGGAATATTTCCTCGTTTTTCATTGTTTTTTTCCATCAGAAGTGATCATTTAAAGAGGGGATAATTTTTATCGGTCGCCGCAGGTTGCCTTCAGAGAGTGAGCAGCCCTAAAATGATGACTATCGTTTAAATGGAACAGTTTCACAGAGTGACTTGGTGGAGACAGCTGAGTGGAAGAATTCTTTTCAACATTTCATCGTCAGACTCGGATACAGTCAACGAGAAGAATGGATCAGAACACGGGGGCATGTGTTAAACGACTGGAGCGGGACTGCATAAGTGAAGGCTTTGGTTTCACATGTTTCGTATCGTTTCTTAATCCAAAAGAAAAGTTCTAGAGATTATGAGGCTGACTTTTGCACTCCGAAGATAGTTCTCAAGTTATTTCAGAAATTGCCTTGTGGCAAGTCGTATTCTAGAGGACAGTATGATGATGCAATTTTCCCAGTAGAGTCGACTCCTCAAGTAATCCCTCTGGGGACTCTTGAAGTGTCCACTGCCGATGATATACAACAGAATGAAACAGCTATATACTACTTCTCTGCCCTTCAGTATAGACTAACTTCACATGTAGGATGAAAGCTCCACTGAATCTCAAGACCTGACTTTGGACTTGGGTTGCTGTTCGAATGAGAAAAGAATAAAAAATATAGGGGCCGTAATCTTTACATCGTTATTACGGAAAGCGACTGTCATTTTCTTGTTTATCCAACTCTTAGTAAGAACCCTAGAAGATGTAACTTCAGGGGTGAAACCTGGGGAAAATGGCTGCTTAACCTAATGTCTCCTGGACGACAGAGGTATGTACGGGGACATACAGCTTATTGATGACTGCAAGAGATTCCGCGTACATACGGTAGCCCCAAAAGCTTCCCAACAAGATTCTCAACATGCCCTCTAGAAAAACTTGTGGTGCACTCTTGTGTGCTTTTTCTCCGTCTGGGGTGTCTTTATATGTGTGTTTAAATACATAAATCCGTTTACATAAAGATGAAACTGTGCATTGCTGTGGCAGTATTGATTGCGGTAACTTCACACCGGAGTTGATTGATATTTCCCATCAGACACCTGAAATTTTGCCCACCGATATTAGTTCCGTCAGCTTTCCTCGGATTCGTGGGTTTCCAATAGTCCAACCAGTGTTGACAGGTGCAATGGTTGAGATGTGTGGGAGTCCTTTGCTTTCTTACTGTGCTTCATGTATTAGGCACATGAGAACTGAAGAGTCTGGGGATGTCTAGAACCACAGCTGCCCAAGCGCGGCAGTCGGCGGCAGGACTGTCCCAAAATAGTGTTAGTGTTGCTCCAATTAGCTTAGTTCTTCACCGGCTTCCTGCTCGTCAGCTATTTATCTGTCAAATGGAATGATCACCCAGTTTCTTACTGGACAAAATCTCACCACTTTGTTCGAGTTGAGTCCTCATTTGAATGTTTATCTACTCCATAGAAGCATCTGACAGGAGGAAGAGCGCGCAAAGTCCTTGTTGTGGGTGATACAGTTGACATTCCACTATTGATGTATCCCATCAGCTGTCGGGGCTACCAGCGTGGAACAAGCGTAGTAGCAAGCGGATCCCCCATGGCTCACGCAGTGGCAACCATCGTCTCTCTGGTGGACGAAATTTGTGAAATGGAAGACTGTATGGTGACTCTGGTTCTACCGGTTGGTGACTGTCAAAATTTGATTGATGGTGCAACGAAGGATGCTAGAGTGAGTTGCAGTCAAGGAGTCAACAGTACATGAGTAAAGATTGCTAGGTTCAAGTATATAATTTCAGAGGTTCATTTTAAGCTATTGAGCTCATTTTATTCTAAACCTGCCAACTTAGGAAACAACCAATGGAATTTGCGTAAGTGCTGAATGACTGGCCTCAAAACAACGGGAGGTACGATAAACACTAGGTTTTCTTGAGGTGTGAAGAAGTAAAAAATCGGTTTTACTGGAACTATACTCTCTTTCATTCTGTATTTGTATCTGAAAAGCCCTCAGAACTGGCAACATGAAAAAAATTCATAGATCAGTCTCAAAAAGACATATCTAGCTGGAAATTGTCTGTTTCTCTTAGGATATTTTCCACTGATTAAGAGAAAATCGAACCTGGTGCCAAGCCGAACCTGTAGCGTTAAACAGTCGAATTTGAAGGCAAATTGTATTCAAAACATCATCGCTAGTTTTATCAACCACGTTTTGAGCGCGTCGTTCCGAATGAATTTGTAGACGTACATATATTATTGGTCTTGTCAAAAGTTGGGAAGAAACCGGCGACAGTGTCTATCCAGCGGATGTCGTAAACAGATGGCTGACTGTGATCGAGTAGGAGTTCAAACTATCGACTACAAGGCATTATATGAAAAAAAAGACAAAACAGTGAAATTCGGTTTTTATTATACATCATAACACGAAACAGCAGACCACAGAAACGGAACTTCCCTCAAGCACTCTTACTAGTCGCTTCAAGTCTGTCTCCAGAAATACTTCATGTATTCTGTAGGGCTGATTTGTTTCTATCGATCGGTTCTCATGAACAAGGTATCTAGCCCTGCATCTAGTTTTATCCTGATCCGATTCACACTTACCGCCTTGGACATGATCTTCTTTATCTTCGATCACTGTTTTTCCCGCTGCTCTGCTCAAACTGATCCGTAGCTTGCGATACTTTACGCTCTGTCCTGATACCCCGACTCGCATTGCACTTTAACAGAATTGGAGAATGGGTCGGGCTGCAAAGCAAAGCATCATCCCAGGTCGTTGTCCAACCGTACTCCAGTCCGTTTTTCAAGCTATTCCGAAACTGAACGGTCGGTTAAATGCAATAACAATGCATGTGCCGGTATTCGAGGGTGCGGTAGTCGATTTGACGTTTCGTACAATGGATGTATTGAACGGTGTGGGTGACGTTGTTGACAGAATAACAAAGAACTCGCTTTTATTACAGTACAATGACTTGCATATCAAAACGCAGCCATTTCGAGACAAGGGATCTTGTTTCAGTCAGTTAAAGAAAGCTTCTTCCTCTGCCAGTTCAATGGCTGATTCAGTTCGTCGTGATTCAGATCAGACCCTCTCACAATCATCTGGACCGAATGTGGTTGCTGGGACCGACATTAATCCCACTATTCAGATGCCAGATGGACTAACGTCAGTTCTAATGCCAGTGAATAAAGAAGACGCATACGTTTCATCTGACACGACTGCCAAACACACGCTTTGTTTGCTGAGTGTGGACTGTTGTTTCGGCATACCGGCGGGCAACACATTTAAACTGGTCACCTGGTGAGTGTCATTCGCGGTGGCGCTTGTTTACCTCTACTGTCAGTTTTGTGGTTAGTTAGCTAGTTAGTTAGTTAAAGGGCATCTCGTGTTAAGGGCAAAGATTGAATGCATTATGTAGTCCAGGTAAACAGACAAGTGTATGTAAACTTCATGTATGTGAAAACTGAGTTTGATCAGCAGGCAAAGCAATCCGCGCGTAAGCAATAGGAGAAAGAAATGGTGTTCTTTTTGACTTCAGCATGACTGACTCATAGGACTACGCATAGGAATGGATTTCGGTTTTGTGGGAGGTGCGGGGTTGGGTACAAGATTTCCTACTTGGAAAGAAGACAAACTGGAGTCTAGGTTTTCAGTAATTTCTATTCCATGGGATCAGAGATACCACTCTGTACCTTGAAGTCTCTATTTCATCCGACTTCTTTCAGTCTTTCTGGTCGGGAGGAAAGTTGAACACATGGCCTTGACAGTACACTGCTTCTTAACTTGTTTCCAAATGACTGCAGTGCCTCCTTATGGACGTATTTACATGGCTCATATGCTAGTCGAAAAAACTCGAGAAGCCTAGCCATTGGATCTAATTTGGTATCATGTAATTCCTCCCACATACTTCTGGGTTTCCACTTATTTCGCTTATCCTCAAAGGCCTTCCCGTCCGACACTTGTGTATTAGTATGTGAGTCCGTGTGTGAACGTGCGCTGCTGACCTACTTGCCCATTCGCGTTCGTGTCCCGTCTGCTGAGTCTGTCTTGACTTGTTTTCTCATACGTTTGGTGTGATTGCACCGCCGGTGAGAATCGTCGGAAGGGACGACCGCAACCCACACTCCTGAGCCCACCGTTGTTCGGTGTGCGGAACACTACACTCTGCTTATCAGTGACAGTTTAGCGTACTTGCTGACCCTACAGACAATTGAGGTTTGTTGTATACATTTGCTTACTCTTGTGTACCGTAGAATTTCGAGCCCAATTCTACCTTTTGATACTTGAGATTGTCGAACTTACGCGTCACTCAAAGTTCCGCATTCGGAACGTCAACAGTGGTGTTGTGCAGGATCTGCAGTATTTGCTTTACTTGGTCGGGGGTTCAGGGGAAACATTGACGTAGTTCCATTCTTGAGAGCGGAATATAGACTGTTCAAACCAGCTGAAAGCTCAGCCTTTGAATAGGTTTTTAAAATCTCAGAAGTTCAATCCGGATCTGCCCTCGAGGAATTTTTCGTAATCGAAACGTGATCAGATAAGGAATAGGTGCCACCGCGTGAGATGTCGTTAATTAAGGTAGGGAAGTGTGAGTGTTGAATACTGAGGTTATGCTGTTGACGATGATGCCTCCGCTAATAGTTGTTTTTTTTTCAAACAGCAGGTTACTGGTGAATAGCCAATGTATTCCAACTGAACAGTAGTCAGTTCGCTTATGTCCCCATACTACCAAGCTGTAAGCTTAAAGTTCGACCAAACGATATGAGTATGTGTGTGGTCTGTTCCCAAAAAGATCAGCTGAACATGGTCTCTGGTCCTCAGTGAAACTGTGTAGATAAAAGTGTGGACTGTGTGCGACCACTGGTTGGTCAAGAAACTGGTCACTCTGAACTCGTGCATCACTTGCGACACAAAACGGAACGATTCTTATGGCTGAGTTTTTCAGGAATGCACCAGCGATAACCTCAATAACGAAAAATCGTGGTTGTTAATGCAACTTCCGGCGAATTTTTATTAAAAATTAACGAAATTTACCTCTGCAGCCTAAATGTGTGAGCTACTGCAGCCATTCGGTTCACAAGTAGATAACTACCATGTATCTTGGCTAAATAGTCCCTTCTAACCTTAGACCACTGGGGTTGGCGAACAAAATCACACATATTCAGTTGCACTTTCCATGGGCTTTTATCGCCAGATCAGTGTGGATGCTGTGTCGCCCTTTTTGGTGTGGTGATTTAAAACCTAAATCGAGCAACAACGCAAAAGCAAACCGTTTGCTTACGAAAAAAACCATCCACAATATTCCTAATTGCTTTGATTCTGAACAGCTCGGTGGATAAGTCAACATTCCAAATTGATTGATCATTGAGTGATGACGGCATGACTATAACCTGCAACAGTGGCCCGGTTGAGGGTATCCTCAGGGTTTCAAGATTTCACTCAATTGATGCTAACTTTGTAATGATTTAACGACTGATTGCTATCAGTATTCTATGACCAAGACTCTTTTGTGATACGCAGAAATATTACCAGTTTCTCAGACGATCAGTGCGAAGTAGGACAATATTCTTGGAATGTTGTTGACCCATGGAACAATAGTCGATAACACCAACTAATCTATCCACGACACTCATCACAATGTGACCCTTAGTGTGAACCGGCTGTGCGTCGTGCGTGCTGTACACAATACGAGCTTAGAAGTTAACCCTCCCACTGCTTATTACGCCTACTCAAAGCTGCTACTTCGTCCTTACAGGTTCGACCTCGGCGTCAGTTATTGTGAACGTCTACTGGACACAGTGGTATTCATGCGGAGTATTGATCATATTTAAAGAGAACTCACAACCAGTGGGTGGACCAACAACAAACACTGATTTCCTGCTCTTCTGAAATATATGAGCGACCAAGCACTTTCATCCTATCATCGAAAAAAAACTGATGAAGTACATCATCGGTTTTGTTTTTTCTATCCGCTGGAATTGGTGACCATCTTCATGCATGTAGAGCGGCAAAATTCGCTTTATGCTCAATTCCCAGTATACTCAGTTGAGGATGATCTGAGATAAACGTTTTAGAAACCCACAGTTTTTGAGGGGACTTATTAATCAGTTTGATTCTCTCCTGAAACTAGACAGTTATTCGACTGTAAAGTCTCACGTTGTGTTTACTTTGTCTAATGAACACGTCTACATCACGTGAAGCGTTTTTAGGTAGACTTACAACAAAACAACCAAGTCTAGCGCAACTAATTTTCTATACCAGGGATTTGGATGATCAAAATTTAGGTCATCTATTCAAGGCTATTCGAGGTGTTACAATGAATTTGTCGAAAGCCAAGTTTCGGTACTGGTAGCTGGTTTGTTTGCTGAGCTGAGCATTTTGATTGCAAACGTTTCCTCACCAATCGAGGTGACACCATCAGTGAGGTGGAGCATAGCGGTGGGCGGTCGTTTGTTCACAACCGTTCGAAAACGTTTGCAAATCATCACCGTATCACATGCCCTAGTGATTTGCGCTAGAAGTTTTCCTAGTCTCGCTCTTAACCAAGCAGATCGAATCACACTGAAGACTTTTTGATATGAAAACTATCAAAATGGCCGCGGTTTCTCGCACAGCGGGAATCGAAGTTGGTCTAGATTTCCTGATACGTTTCAGAAGCGAAATGACTGAAGGTAACCGCGAAGAGTCCACTGTTCTGTAACAGCAGGTCCTTATTCCCATAGGAGAAGTTTGTCATGGTAGCCTCGTTAGAGGGAGGATATATGGTTCCAGTACATGATGAAGATGTGATGTTCGAAAGGCCTATCAGCCTCTCAGTCTAAGATCGCTTAACTCGACCATGATTTATTCTTGGATTAGAACGAGGTACCTCAGGGACCTCTAAATCGCTTCTGCATATGAAAACTGATCAGTATCGGTGGCAATCACAGTATTAGCAAGTTTTTGTCCCATTGCTCGATGCTGTAAACAAGACAAAGGCCAGGTAGTTCATTGATCCGCCCTTGCATTAGCGCCATTCTGATGGTGATTGCACATTTGTTTGTTCCGACATATTAATTAAGGTGCTTCCAGAGTTTAGTACCGGAGGGTTGTTTGTATATACAGTTTGTACATACTCGGTGGGTGAATTATCCATACTGTTAGTTTATTTTGGGGTTCTTACTGGACTCTGACACCCAAGTAAACCTTGTGAACGAGCTGATAGGCCAAGGGGACTCATATGCTGGATAACCTTGTTATCTCACAGCGCAACTTTCTTAAAACCCAATGAGAACAAAAATAGTTCATTAGCGAAATGCACTCATTTGCAAAGAAATTTGGTTTTTCGAGTGACTAACCCGCAGCCCAGCTAAATCTCTGGGTTTTGATGTTTCTAGGCAACCGAATGTGCTGAACCAGGCCATCTCATTTTTCAGCATTACAAATACATATGTATCGCGAAATCTCGGATATCTAGGCCACTGAATTATGAGGCGGCCTGATGCAGCACATTCAGTGGCCTGGAAACATCACAAACAAGAGATACAAGTGGGTTTCAGATGAGTCTCTCGCAAAACCAAATTAGTTTGCGAATGAGTGTATTTCGCTAATTTCGTGCAATTTGGTTTCAAGTAGAACCTAAGGTTGACGGAAACTCGGGGACTGCGCCTACCTGATGAGCCCCAAGAAGGGCGAAACCAGTCGTGGGCTGTGGAGGGGTTTTCAGCAACCTTATGAGTAGCGCCTTACAAAACTAGTTTATCTTAACGGAAAATTCTCAATAAAATGAATACGCATCGAAAGTTATTAACCCTTTCAAAGTTATAAGAGGAGGTTGAAAATTCAATACCAACGAAAAGGACTTTTCACATTTGTCGCTGCTGGTAAACACAATATACAGAATATATGCAAAATGCGCGATAACTCATGAGTTAATTCCAATCATAAATCAATTAATGGGTACGCATGCGGTTGGGTTATATGTATATATGGCCCGGAAGAGAATGATTTTGATATCAGTCAACTGATGATTTTCTATCGATAATAAGCCAGAGATAACAAGCCGATCATGCTTTTCCACATTCTTTAAAACTGGATCCGGTTTAATCCTCTTGAAACCATGAGCAATTGCAGCTTTTTACAAGTCCGCGTCCGTCATTTCGATTCTGATTCAAATGATATGAGTAGTTAACTGTATTGTCGTTGTTTGATACGGAAAGGCAGTAAACTAAAATGAGTCTCCCAAAAACATTGTATGCTACAACCAAATCTTCAGATCTGATACAGCAAGTAGTGAAATCCTGGACCTTTCTCCCATGCACGTCTGGACATCCAGGTGATCACTGAAGCGTTTACTTGCTCTCCGGAAAAAGTTACAATGGACGTGAACAAATTCACACACAATTTTCTGGTGAATCTGGGGTTGTTCTATGAATATAAATTACGGGTTTTACAACCAAAAATTATAGGTAAAGACTTTAGATTGTGATCAAGGTTTTAGTTCAAAATGTAAACTTTTAGACTTGCGTGAAAAGTACACGTTACACATGAGTTAATCTGCTCCTATCATTCGTTATTCGCTAACCAGTGGACGGGATAGTTTCCACACTATCTGTACTAGACTGGAGGAAAAATACGTTTTCCAGGACTGTTTCTGTGTTTAGTCAACAACATTTGGAAGTTAAATTGAAGAAGGGTGTTTTGAACATTGGTTATAGAATATGAGGTGAACTGACCCCGAGGATCACACAGGTGTTCGCGACTATCCTTGGATATATACACTAGTCAGACACACTCGAACTCCATCCTACTGCTTTTTCAACCGCGTGTATCAAGTCCGCCCAAATGTGGATGGAACTTAAGAGAAACTTACGATGTTGACAGTGTTGTGGAACACGGGTATCTGGGATGCGTTGATTGATTGTCGGTCTGTTCACCGAGCTTAGAAGTTGCATTTCAGACTGGTTAAGACAACTCAAAGTAAAAAATATTTTGAACGACGTGTAGATTACAAAGCTTATGACTGATTCTGTCCTAAGCCTTGGTGAATCCGGTTCCATGCAGTCAGGTTCTTCTCTTTATGTTACACTGCACAAATTCCTCGGGCAAAATTTATACTGTTTTAACGGTAGTCAACTGAACACAAATATAGAAGATCCCACAACCTTATTGAACGAACAACTTTCGATATCTTTCAACTGCGGCAATAGAAAAAGCAAGCCTTCTATTCACGCTACGAACAGAAGCTGACGAGTCATAGATAATGATGGAAACATTTTCCCACAAAACCCGAGCCCGTTATGTTACCGACCTTTAGCAGGTCATAGTCTACCGTGCTACTGACGACAACAGATAGGAAGAATTACAGTAAGACCCCCGTTAACGGGATCATCGTTAACCGTTGATTTTTAACCCCAGAATACACATATGTTTGTTCACTCAGTAAACGGTCTTAATTCAGCTGCCCTACTCAGACATGCCTACAAAATTTAAACGACCTTATTCGAAATCCCAAAATTTTTGGTGATCTACCGTTCAGTGTGGCGGCACATCAAAGTTAGGCGCAAGGAAAAACAGCGACTATCGAGAAAGAATTTCACGACGAGGATTGTTCGCACTTTCTTCCAGACAATATGACGTTTGACGTGAACAAACTGAGAAGTGTTGAACGTTAAACCCGCCGACAGTGAACCTTGGACAAAATAATTGTCAATGGTGTGCCAGACAAGGTAGCTTCGTTTTCGCTCCAACCTAATGGTTAATTTGGCGAATTCACCTTCAAGTTGTCGTTTTGCTTATCACTTCAATTCACTTTCCGATCAACATCATTGGGCACTCAAGTGTGTGACCTCGTTAGCATCGCGTTACACGGTAAACCAGGGTAGGAAAACTAGAAGTCACATTTGCAGCGCCGAAACATTTAGTTTTACGTTTTCTATGCCAATTTTTATCGAAAATACTCGAAGATAGTACTCAGAAAAACTGAGTGCGCTATATTTCTCAGAGAACTCCAGGGGTTTGATGGTTTGAAACTGAAATGTTTTCGCGGGAAGCAGATCGAACACAGCGGTATGTGAACTAGCTCGCCGTTCCACTTCTGGGTCTCTTGAATGCCACATACTCCAAGGTCTCAAATGACCGAGTAACCTCCAAACTCTTGGTTTCGTGACCCTCTTCTGCAATAGTTCACGACTTCCCTGAGTCGGGAGGCGGCTGAAGCAACACACCTATGAATAAATCTGACTAAGCCTGATGTGTATGTAAGGCCCTCCGATGCTAAAGCTATGACTAGATAGGTGAAACGAGCTCCAACTTCCCAGTGATCTCAACATAAAGCCAAATTCTTCATTTGGTTTTATTAGCTGGTGATGTTCGGAACCTGTCCCACACACATGGATAATCTGGTAAAAATGCAAAGCAGGCACAATGTTGTTTAGGTGTGTTTTGAACACAAAACACTGGAAATGAGTTCGAATATTCTCACGAAGTAGCACAGGTGCCGAGGTATTAGTCTCGACTAAAAAGACTTCACCTCAGGAAGTATTTAAAATCAGAACCACACTCACTGCAGTACGGGACGCCATCAACAAACAAACTGTGATCAACCAACCAAATATATCCACTTCTCAAAAACAAAGAACTCTCGAGCCTTCAAGAAGCCAGTAGAGAAACCATTAGAAGACAAGAAAAGAACACGAAACCCATCGGGTGAAGTCGAAGCTTTGGAAAAACACAGAAATGCCTCATAAATTGCAACGAATCGGAAGACCAAAAAGATTAACTAATGTATATTATCTTTCAAGCTCAATCGATGAAGTAAGGTTTTGATCTTTTCACACCTTTAGGAAAAACCCTAGTCCATTATGTCACCCAAACACACGAGGTTTTGGACACCGGAACACAGAAAAAATAAGAATGTAGAAGACTGTAAGTAGACTAAATCGTTTAAACCAAAGA